ACCCATTACCCTCTGTCCTATTGCTACATGGCCTTGTAAGGAGTCTCCCTCCAGCTTTCTTGTTGGCCCCTTCAGGTACTGGAAAGTTCTATAAGGTCTCCCTGTAGCCTTCTCTTCTCCAGGCTGAACAACCCCAAATCTCTCAGCCTTTCTTCGTAGAAGAGGTGTTCCAGCCTTCTGATCAACTTCATGACCTCCCCTGGACTCATCCAAACATATCCATTTCCTTCCGTTTTAAGGCCCCAGAGCTGGATGGAGAACCACAGGTGGGTTCTCATGAAACCAGAGTAGAGGGGAAGAATCCCTTCTCTTGACCTGCTGGCCATACTGATTTTGATACAGCCCAGGATATGGTTGACTTTTCTGTTCTACAATCACAAGTTACTGGCTCATGTTGAGTCTCTGATCCAGACCATTTCCAACTTTTCATCCACCAGTACCCCAAGTCCTTCTCTTCAGGTCTGCTCTCAATCCATTCTCTGTTCAGCCTGTTCTTATGCTTGGGATTGCCCTGAACGAGGTGCAGAACCTTGCACTTGGCCTTGTTGAACTCCATGCAGTTGGCACGGTCCCACCTCTCCTGTCTGTCCAGGTCATTCTGGATGGTATCCCTTCCCTCCAGTGTGTCACTGTACCACACAGCTTGGTGTGGGCAGCAAACTTACTGAGGGTGCACTTGATCCCACCGTCCATGTCACTGACAAAGATGTTGAACAGCACTGGTCCCTGGGAAATGCCACTCGTTACTGGTGTTCATTCGGACATCGAGCCCTTGACCACAATTCTGAGTGCGACAATCCAGCCAGTTCCCTATCCACTGAGCAGTCCATGGGTCACATCCATGTCTTGTGGGCAGCAAACTTACTGAGGGTGCACTTGATCCCACCGTCCATGTCACTGACAAAGATGTTGAACAGTGCCAGTCTCAATCCCAGCCCCTGGGGAATGTCACTCATCACTGGTCTCCACTCAGACATTGAGCCATTGACCACAACTCTTTGAGTGTGACAATCCAGCCGGTTCCTTATCCACTGAGTGGTCCATCCATCAAATCCATGTCTCTCCAATTCAGAGACGCAGTTTTTCCTCTTTGTTTTTTAACAATGATTATACAAGCAAAGATTACCTTGCTTGCATATTGGGCATCATGGCTCAAAGATCAGCTAATAAGTACATGGATTTCATTAGGTATAGCACTGACACCATGCACAGTAAATTTACAGGAATATAAAGTTAATCATATGCAGCTATTAAGAAGGTAGTAATCATCAGTCTCTGAATGC